TCCATCGCCCCTTATCCACTTTCCTGTTATTCGTCCCCCTGGGAGGGGGTTCTAGATTGATCCTTATGATCAATTTCCCCTTTCTCCCCCCACCCTCCCCTAATCCTCCTGGTATCTCTACTCCCTTGTTGGCCCTGAGGGGGTTATCTACTCTGAATTCCCCGTGTTGCAGGCGCTTATCTGTAGCAGTGTCCATGCTCTGGTCTAATCTGATTTGTAAGGTAGAACTGAGGTCATGATAGTGGGGGGAAGGAAGCACCAAAGAGCTAGAGGAAAGTGTGTGCTTCATTGGTGTTACACTGCACCCTGACTGGCTCATCTCTTCCCTGTGACCCCTCTGTGAGGGGATGTCCAATTGTCTACAGATGGGTATTGGGACTCCATTCCATTCACATTGGGTATGATTTTGTTCTGGGTCTTAGATGCCTGATACCTGATCCCATTGACACCTCATGATCACACAGGCAGGTGTGCTTACTCCATGTGGGCTTTGTTGCTTCTCAGCTAGATGGCCGCAGGTAGCTGTCTTCCACATTTCTTGGCATTGCCAAGGGAACACTTTCAACACTGCTTTCATTTGTTGAAACATCTCAACTGGTATTTTATCAAGTCCTGGAGCTTTTGTTCGCTAATACTTCGGTGCCGCTTGGACTTTCTCCTTCAGTACCTCCTGAAACGGTACTGATTCTTTCGGGGCAATGACTCTGTGTATTCCCTCCATTCTCCCTACACTGTTCTGCATTTGTTCTGCACGATTGCTACTGGAGGCTTGGCGCTTTCACTCGTTCTCTCCGTTTCCCTTTTGCTTTCCTAACTCTGGGTCTTTGCACATTTCATTTGAACACTCTACTTTGTCTCCACAAGTTACCTCTTGAAATCTTGTGTTCAACTCCTTTGCTTCATTATTCCGCTTGCTTTAGCTCTTCTCCAATCGAGAGGAAGTTGCCTGGGGCACTGTTACTTGGGGCTCCCTAGCATGTGCGGTCTAGCCAATCCTAACGGAATAAGCAGGAATGTCCCATTGGTAACTGGACACAGTCAGGTCTGGGAAGGTCTTCTCCTGAAAGTTCCACCACTGCCATCACGCTCCTGAGTAAAAGCGGAAACAAACCCCACAGCACTGTTTTATGAAGAGGGGAGAGCTCTTTGATAGTTGGTGTTCGTTTTGCACTGAAAGAAACCGCCAGGCATCATTCTTCTTTGAAAATGGGAACGACACCTCATGTGACATGCGTGATGAGCCCAGCTTCCCGACATGATTTCTTTACATGCGCCACTTCAACCGTGCTGCTCGTCAGTTTACTCTGATCATGACCACACTGTCAATTATCATGAATCTCAGTGTGCTCAGAACTAGATCAATGGTACTTCCCTAAGCCAACAAAAGGTCTTAGAAGTGAGTCTTAGAGGTCTACAGAGGGACCAGAGTATCAGAGACGGACGCTCTCCATAGGGACTCCAGCACGGTCACCACTAGCAGGCACAGCTGGCTGACCTACAAAGAACCAACTTCGAGAGGAGCAGCTGGGCTCTTGCAGAGAAAGCAGCTGGCTCAGGGCCCGCACTGGACTAGCTAGAGCCAACTTCTCCATCAACTCAGAAGGGAGTCGCTGGGTCTCCCCTTTTCAGCTCTCTTACCATGAACATGACACGGCACATGAAGCAAGTTCAGGTACTAACTTATAAAAGTGATAGTGGTGAGGGATAGTAGGTAAGGAGGAGATACACTATAAACAAACCATGCCCCAGGAGCACACGGATCCCAGGGATCTGCAGTCTTCCCATTGTGGTACAGTGAGCTCGGGTGGTGAGACCAGTCCAGGAGGAGGAGGATGCAGCCAAGGGCCTGGCCTCTTCCATGAGGGACGGATATCTGGAGTGATTAAGAACTTTTGGAAGTGGCTCCAGGTGGCAGGTGCACAATACAGTACTTAAAGAGTTAAAATGGCAACATTTTTTGTTAAGGGTGTTTTACAATAATACTAACAATGGGCCCCACCTCCCTAGGTCTAGAAGGAGGTGCAGGTACCAAAGACTCTTCAGAAGTCTGTTTCGGAAGAGACATTGAGTACTGCCAAGACTGACCCCTAGGAAGGGCAGGCAAGCCCGCCCCTCACTACATAGATGCTGGGGGCAGCCGCAGCACCCCGGTCAGCAGGTGTGGCAGATCAGCCATCTGCCAAGCCTGGGGGCCGTCCTCGCTGCAAAGGCCGCGTGTGTTGGGGCTGGAGTGGGGTTGGAGGTAGTCATGAGATGGGTGCCAGCAAGACGTGGGTAAAGCCCGGTCTTACAATATACATCACAGCTAACAAGACCACTGCCTGTCTCAGCAGAACTGCAGCCGTGAGGATCACTTGGCCCGCTCGTAACACTGTTACGGGGATTTCATGCCAACGGTTGGCTTCAAGTGTAGATTACTAAGTGGATTCACCCTTTGCGAGTCTTATCTTTGGTACAACTTTAGAAAACTGCACTTGTGAAAACCTGCTGCCACCGAGTTGACGATGACTCTTTGCTACCCCACAGCACAAAGCAGAGCGGCCTTGTCTGACTCGCAGGGCTACACTCTTGACAGGAGCCGAGAGCCACAACATCTCCCTCCGGCAGAACCACGCGTGAGTTCCAAGCCCTGACCTTCTGGCCAGCCGCCGAGCACTTCATCCCGGCACCACCAGGCTGCTTTCCTAACCCAAGCCCACCGCCTCCGAGCGGATTCCAATCCACGGCGACCCTAGAGGGCAGAGCAGAAACATCCCATAGGGTTCCTACGGCTGTCGTCTTTAGGGAAACAGAAGGCTACATATTTCTGCCACAGAGTGGCTGCTGGGTTCAAACCAGGGGCCGTCTGCCTAGCAGCAGAGTGCTTTCACCGCTGGGCGACCAGGGAGCCGCTCGTACAACACCAACCCCCAAGTCCCTTAAGAAAGCCAAGGAAGGCAGAAGAAGTCAGCTGCCTCCAAAAGGGGCCTACTCACGGAGGGCGGCAGCGTACCTGCTCTTGCCTGCTGCGCTGGCGGGCCCGAGAGTGGGCCAGCGGGATCTTTCACCCTTGTGTCCCGTGCTGCCCTGGTTCCTGCTACTTCGGGGGCACCAAGGATGGTGCCCCTCATTAGTTCCCTTGCCCTTTGTGCCGGGGATTGTGTTTTCACGTTATCGATGTTAATGTACCCCAGTAGCGATGACAAAGTCTCGCTCCCTGGGTTCCAGTTCATGCCCCCACGGGTTGTTTCAAACACAGGCTGTTAAACACGTCACTGTGATGAGCCACGGCAGGGGCATGCTTCCCCGAGTCGCAGTCCAGTGTCCTCCAAACAGAGGTCCAAGAAAAGGGCGGCTTCCGAGGCATGTGCTGAGCCAGTTCCGCTCAGAGCCGAGAGGTGAGGCCAGAGGGTGGTGGGGGCTCTTCTGAGGGAATGCCGAGGGCACGCACAGGACAATCCCAGGGACTTCTCTTCAGGAGAAGTTGGAAGAAAACAAAGCCGCGTTGCTGGGGAAAAGGCCAGGAACACGGCCCTGGAGAATGCGTTGCATCGTGACAAGGCTCGTTCTGCACGGGAGCAGGGCCGGTCTGTCCTGTGAGGCTCTCGGGGAGGCTTTGCCCCATCCACCCAACTGCGCTCATCTTGCCCCGCCAGACTGCTTTCGTTCCCGGAGCTCACAGAACATTTAGAAAGCACACGAGGTGAGTGCCCCGAGGCCGTCCGCACGCATGTTGACGTGGAGTAAAGCCAGGCGCTGCGAGAGCTCCAGAGATGGAGAGCCTGCCTTCAGAAGAGCACAGAACTGGGAGGAGGGATGGGGGGGAGGCAGGGGGAGCAAGCGGCTTCACGGTCGGACATACCCATTTAGCAAAGGTCTCCTGTCCTCAGATTTACTCATACTTCTGAGTTTACTGCTATTCAGCCTTTTCACGTTAAACTATGATCAATACCTTTAAATGAGTACAGAATTCTAGCTCCAACTTGATAAGACATTTATCTTCCCTTTCTCAGTCTTCCCTTGAACATCTCAGCACTGCATTGCAGTCCTGAGCTAGAATTCCTCTTCTTAAGAGACCCTCCCAGCCACAGAGGGGCTAGGGCCTTCCTTGCAGGTACTTGATTTCGCTTTTTAAGACTGGCATCTCTTTGAGCCTTAGCAGAAGCCCCGGAGCGGAAGGACCCGCATGCGGCGTTTCTTATGCCTTCTTCTCCGTGGGCCTCCACCCTCTTCTCCGGCTCATGACCCACCCGCCTTGCGGCGGCTTCCTCCAAAGGCCGCAGGCACCGCCGCCTCCAGAGCCTCAGGAAAGGGCTCCACACTCCCCCTGCCCCTAACAAGGAGGGTCGGATGAGTGAGGGCCTGGATGAGAACATGTCCATGATCCTTCCCAGGCCTGATTGCTCCATGAGCTTCTCTATCCTGTGGGGAGCGAGACCATGTCAGATGGGCCTTCCCGCCCGTCCTAACACCATAAAATGATTTTCGTTGCTACTTCATCACTGTCATTTTGCTACTGTTAAGACTCGGGCGACCCCTGGGAAAGGGTCGTTCGACCCCCAAAGGGGTCGTGACCCACAGGTTGAGAACCGCTGGCCTCTTCCATGAGCAACAACTCGAGATGGAAGCCGAGGCCTCAATCCTTCCTTCCTTGCCGGCCCACATTCTGATTTTAAGACACAACAAGCGCACTGAAGGCCGGACCAGCCGGCATGCAGGAGGGCCGGGATTTGGGACAAGTGTAAAATCACCCGAAAATAACCGTCAAAATGCCTGGTTATAAATACACCAATTTGGTCCTTCTTATGACACGGCAGGTCTTTCCGGGTGAGATCTGTGACTAATTCAGGAGCTAAATGCCACGCAGCTGCGGCTGCTTTTAAAACGGAGTCAGTGTGTCCCCAAGCCACGTCCCCTCTTTAGCAAGATACTCCCCTGGCTGCGCTCCTTGGAAAGACAAACAGGTCACAGAGAGCAAAGAGCATCATTAGCTTGTTCAACTTGGTGCCCATGCTTCTTACCCACATATTCTGAGAGGAAGACGACAAAAAACGGAGTGACCAGGTCATTAATTCCCTGGACATACCCACTGGCCGGGTGCCGGATGGCCCAAATAAATAGAATTCTTTCAAAGATCTAGAAAAACAAGAAAGGAGACATGAGGTTAAACTGTGGGGAAACACCCCCCACCTTCCACTGGTGTGCCATCATTTCTCTAAGGGTTGGGGCAGCATTTTTAGGGAAAATGTAACAATACTACGGGGCGAACGAAGGATGTAAGTGCAGGTTTCTGACCCGCCTGGTGTTTTCAAGCCGGGAGAGAGGATTGGTGCCCTCTGCCTGGTCCCACTGACTGACCCAGTGCTGGAAAAAGACCAGGGCAGCTACACAAGTGACTCAGGAAAGGTTGGTACTGGATGCCAGGGGCTCGCATCGTAGATCACTTGTTCTAATCCCAGGAACAAGATGGTGGCACGTCTTCCTTCTGGTTCCTTTTTCTGGATTTTGGGTCATTGTGGGATTTGGAAAGGAAATCCTTTCTCCACCCCCGTCTGTTCATCTGTGCTGAGGACAAGGAAGGAGACCTACACCCAGAGAGGGGCGCAGCTCCACGCGGTTGCTAGTCAAGCTGTCCAAACAGGGAGTCCCTTCATATGCCATGATGCAACCCAAATGTTTCCTGGGGGGTGGAAGTCAAACAAACCAAGTCTCCAGACTACCACAGGCCGGATTCTGCGAAGGGGAGATGAGCCTGCGTGCCCACAGGAAAGCCTGTGGCCTGGGTCGCGGTAAAACGGAGGGCCTTTGTGTCCCCTTACAGAGCCCCGCCCAGTCTCACTGAACTGCACCCCTCTGGCTTCATAAGGCCCTGAGAGTCCCCCCATCTTCTCGCCATCTGATAACCCCGGCTTGATGATGGGGTGAGCACAACTCGTGAGCCTGAGGGCTGACTTGGGCGGGAACTTTGTGAACTACACCAGACAGATGGCAGAGGGATGGTGACTCACGCAGGTGGGAGGGGATTTCAGAGGGGCTCGGCAGTGGGCGTGGCCTCAGCAGAGGTCTAGCTAGTCTCAGACCAGACCACAGAGTTTGAGGTTCACTCAGAGGGCAGGTAAAAGAGATGATAACTTCCTAGGAGGACCAATACAAAAAAAAAATCGTCTGGGAGTTGGTGAAGTGGTATAGGAGAGAGCAGAAAAATCTAGAGACACAATGCTGGATGCTTCCCAGCTCCCGAGTCACAGAGCGTCCTGTTGGCTTCCCAGCTGATGGTAACAGCTGAGCAAACACTTCCACTGTCAACACGCCTGCTCTTACCGGCAGTGAGAACAAGCTGTTTCCATTAAACCAGGCCACCTTCTCTGCTGATAAATGACCCCTTCCCCCCCACCCGGAGCTGGACCCATCTTGTGCAGGAAAATTGTAATGACTCTTGTCCCCCTGAGCTCCCTACCCCAAGACTGTTTCCTCACACCTGTGTGTACACCTGTGGTCACCCATTTGGTTTCTAGTCTCTGTAGCGTGCGTTTGCCTCACTACCTGCGTGCCGCTGCACAGGGCACCACGCCCGGTGATGGGTGCTGCTAACAGTAAGCTCCTCAGGCTCGTCTTTCTGAGCCCTCACAAGGGCTTCTACTCCATGCTCTTGATCTCTGTGAACGCACAAGTCCTTGAGGCTCACTTCAACGTGGTCAAGTGCATGGAATCCGGCTGTTCAGAATCAAGAGCTCTGATCCTCTCTAGTATGCCCGGACAATGAAGACGGCTGAAGTCGCCCGGTTCAAAGGAAAAGGCCAAAGACATGGATGGACACTGACGAGCTCTAAGTCTGGTTGCCAGGGGAGACCCACGAGTCTCCACCATGAAAGCACGGGATGCTCCATCTTTGCAGAGCGGAGTGAAGAGGCCCCGCTCGTGTCTCCTGCACGAGCGATGGCAGTGCAGACTTGCGGTTTCTAACTCTCAAGGATCTTTGGGGTACCTTTCACTACCCAATGCCACTCCATTCTCTGCTCCTGGGTTGTGACTTCTGCTATGTTTAAGAGGGCTGTAGCCTGCAGCTGACAGAATGATTCCAGAAAACTGAAAGGAATATCCTTCTTTGCATGCAGCTTCCACCAGTAGCACAACCTTTTTAAGTAAACTAATTTCTACAATCCCAAGTTGAGAATCAGCGTGCACAACTAAAAGGTAAGTGTTTGAATATCTTCGTGTTAAAATAAGGAGCACGCAGGAGCACGCGGAGCCCTGGGAAGTGGAATAGAAGCAGAAGGAACCCTGGGTGGGTTTTCAGCTTCTTCTGGGCTGAATCTTACAGGTGAAAAAAGAGTGTGACCCTAAACATCTTCTATTGGAGAAATCAACTGGGCAGAATGATGTATCTAGTGCAAAGTCAAACAGACATGAGCTTGGGTCCTGGTTACCACCACGCTTCTCTATGATGAGGAGAGCTGCAAGCTCGATGCAGACGGCACTCTGAATCCAGCCCCTAGCTTCTGGAGAGCTGCAGAGAAAATCCCGAATCTCGAAGGGTTGCTAAGTCCCTGTTTGGGTCAGAAGATTTTGGCAACAGAAACAATCTGAAAACAATACCAAACAGAATCAAAATGCCTAGTGCATGCCCACATGGGTGGGCAGGGCTTTCCGTGCCAGAAAGGAGGTGCCAGATAACATGGCGCTCAGCTTTTGCGTGAGGGAGGGGAAGACATGCCTCTATAGTTTACTGCTCTTCCCGGAGTGCCCTCCCAGCGCCTCGGCACCTGACCACTCTCCCCGAGACGCTCATGTGCTTTCTAATACCTGAGGTCTCAAGATGCCACTACCTTCCGTTAGATAAAGTGAGGTCTGCAGAGGAACTGTGCCAATATGCTGGCAGGAGCCCTCACTTGCCCCCAGCTATTCACAAGGCGTGGGGCCAGCCTTAACCTCTCTCTATGCGCACCTCGCACGCTTGCTGACGACCAAGAACCCATGAGAAAGTGTCCTGACAGGACCGAATCTGAACATAATGTCCTATCCCTGTCTGAACATGATGAACAGAAGGTACTGCCACGGTTGGCTGCAAAGTAAACCCGCTGGAGGGAAGGCGACTGTATTAGGCCACACAGAAAAAGGGCCAGGGAGGAATCGGGGAGACAGGCCGGCCGATGTCAAGTGCTTTCCTCACCTCCTGTACAAGTGGCTGCTGGAACAGTGGGATCAGAGGATTGGTCCTTGGAATGTCGATGTGAATCTGAAAGAGACAAGCCACGTGCAAAAACACAAATGCTAGTTTGTTTCTGTGACCAGTTAATTTTGAGAAGTTATTTTCTTAAGAGCCGAGAATCACGAAAGTAAGAGTTAGAGCACACATTTATCTGTAGAATGAAAAAAAAAAAAAGTTTAGGTGTCCTACCTGTCCATCAGGAACATGTTTCCATGACTATAATAGCCTATTGAGTCAACTCCCCCAAAGCAAACAATCTGTGTCTAAAAGCAACAGTCCTTTGCAACCTGAGAGAATCACTGGCTTTTCCCTATTGTTCTAGAACAATGCCAAGGGCCAGCCACTTGGATACTTATCACAGCATTCACAGGCCATACAAAATTATCCACATAAAAGTAGCCCGTTACATAGGGTCAAACATGTCATGAACCCCTCCCTGGTGTGGTGGCTGGTGTGGTCCCTTTGGTGAGGTATGGGAAGTTCGCTGGTATGAATGATGTTGTGGGCCGGTGCTCTCCATCCCCATCTACAACACAGGTTCCCAAAACAAGAACAAAACACCCGGCACTCCCCCGGCAATGAAATGCTTTGTACTCCAGCCCACAATCCAGGAATAGGTGTAGGCATCTGTGTCACCCACTTTGGGAGACACAACTCCGGAGTACCCGTTTCACTCTGGGCTGGCACTTACGTAACAAGTACGATCCAGATGTGTACCCCTCTTTCAGAATCTTACTCATCAATAGTCCCCAAGAACGGAAAGGCCCAGGGAGCCACAGTGGCGTGTAAAGATGGTGTGAAGGACTGGCTCGTGACATCATGACGTCTCCAGTGGGGGCAGGCCCAGGGGTCTTGGCCTTCAGTAACTGGAGGCCAAAGCCTTTGTTCTGTTACCAAAGAGGTTACTACAGTCATTTTGGGACTCAGGGGAGAGGCCTTTTAAGGCATGTTAAGATTGTTCAAGGCCTTGTCTAGCGGTCCTAAAACCATGTCAGCAGTACACCCCCCTTGTGGACAGCTGCCCATCTGTGACCACTTCCGTAACCAATAGACGGACTACTCTCCCCAACATACTTCCGCCATCCTCCCCCAGGCTGTGAGAGCCACTAGGAGTGATGACAGAAAACTCCCCATATCAAGGCTGCTGATGTAAACTCCTGCAGACCGGCAGGCATGGGTGCTGAGCAGGCACTGCAGCTGCCAAGGACATATAGGTGCCACCGTCCAGAGATACTGCACCACTGCTGAGCTGAGTGTACCCTGTGCGTGTGCCCTGTGACCCTTACTCCTTCCAGTGCGGTCTGTGTACCAGCAGCGGCGGCGGCAGCACCGAGGAGCTTGTTAAACGTGCTCAGGGCGACTGAAGGAGGATCTGCGTTGCCATAATCCCTAGGTGGGGTTTCAGCAAGCTCCCATGTGATGGACATGCGCGTTGAGTTTTGAGAAGCATTGCCAATGGCAATGGCATGCCCTACCCCCACAAACATGCGAACACACACACACACAGCATCAAATCAGAGCTAGTGAATGGAAAGCTCCAAGGGGGGGAGGGGGAATTCTAACCAGCTTGCCTTTGTCTGAAGTCCTGGACAACCTTTACCCCAGGAGACATCCCTGCAGGTTCTGACAACGAAGGAGAGGCAGAAGTGGCAGTGGGTGATGACTGTACCTGTCTGTAGGTATCCTGATGATGTTCCTCATTTCGAGAGTCATAATACTGCTCAATGAAACCAAAATATTCCTCCCGCTTCCGCTGCAGGGTCAACGCCCTCCTCTCGGTGTTTGCTGGAAGATAGCCCTGTAAGACAGTCAGATGGGGACAGAGATGGGGCGGATACATCCGAATTTTTAGTTACACTTCAGCAGTGGCTTGGCAACGATCAAAGGACCGGAAGGAAAACTGCCTTCTGGTTCGGGCCACCCAGTGTTTGTCCTCTCCTCATTCAATGAAATCCACATGTGGGCAGGCTGAGTGTGGCCAATATTCCCACGGCTGTTTGCTCCTTGGGCCTGTGCTGTGCCCAGCGTTTGTACTGCTGGTGAGCTTCCAGGCCTCTCCAAGCTGGCACAGTAGAGCAGAGAATGTAGGTCAGTGGGCAGGACCTGGGCCCGTGTCATGGCCTCTGACGGCTAAGTGTGTGCAGGGCCAAACTTCTGAGATGCACAGGACCGGCAACCTCTGCAGCGTGCGTTGTGGCGTGCCAAGTTAGTTAGTGCTGGCTACAATCGTCTCTGCTGGGCCACTGAGAAGTACCTTCTTTTCCCAGCACCTCCTGATCTGGTGGCCCTTGCGGTGGCAAGCAGGAGTAGAGATTAGAGACACACACACACACACCCCACACACACACCCCCGCACCTCCAGAGCGTTGCAGGTCCACGGTCGTGGCTGCAGTTCTGTTGGTCCCCAGCAGGACTAGGGAACGCTAGAGGAAGGCAAGGAGGGCCATGGGGGACAGGGCAGGGCAACTCACCGACAGCAGTCTCCAGGTAACAGGTCGAACCTCCCTGGGAACGCCTGGCCAGCTGCACTTCCTCAGTTCGTCTGCAAACAAAATTCAGGTGGATTGGATTAGCCCTTCCCACCCAGGCCCCAAGACAAACCTAACCAGCGCTACCAGATGCCTCCCATCTTTAAAACAAGACCATCACCACCCCATTACCACCGCCTGACAAGCCCTCCACAGCAGCCCTGCGCAACGGAGTGCCAGGGACACAGCTCTGCAGTAGAGACCAGTGGGGGTGGCTTTCAGTCAGAGTCGCCTGCAGGTCAAGGAGACCAAAGCCAGAATAGTTGCCCGATGGGCTACAGGCCACGGAAACCACGGCCCGCCTCGGTGGGGCTCTAATCCCTACACACACATGCCACCGCAAGGGCCACCAGATCAGGAGGTGCTGGGAAAGCAGAAGGCGGCAGAATACAGAGTGACCGTGTCCGGGACTCTCAAAACTCCAGGCACCGAGAGGCCGTCCTGCCTGGCTGGGGTGCCGGGGAACTCACCTAGGTCGGTGTTGTGGCTGGAGAGAAGCTGTCGGAATTTTTCGAGGCGGGTTTTCTCCCGCACAGTCATCGGGGGAGCCCCAGAGGCATTCTGGTCCGAGATCCGGGCCACGAGTGGGATGATGGGCCGGAGAGGGAGGGACTGCTGTTTGTGCAGCGGGTTCCTCAGGCACGTGCCACCTGAGACAATTTGGAAGCGAAACAGGACAGGCGGTTTGAAGAGCACAGGTTCCCAGAGACCAAAACCATCACTGTTCAGCATTGCATCTCCTCTCCCAGAGCGGTGCCTGCGCAGCGAGCATGCCCTCAGAAGGGGCCCGGCTGTGGGGGCAAGAGCTGGGGCAGCTTGTACTCCATCTTTCTGCCCAGAGACAGGGCTGCGTCCTCTGGCACACACACCGAGGCATCTGTGTGCTCACGGATTCCAGGCGCTGCAGCCCCCGAGAACTCTAACTCCTGGGGGGGCCTCAAGAAAAGAATCCAGCATTTTCTTTCTCTCGAATTGGAAACTCTTCGCCCAGCCTAACAGTGAGGGCCATGGCCCTGTCCTCTGAAGCAGGGCTTTCCTTCCTGGACAGGGCACAGAGCACATCACAAACGACGGCCAAGGAAAGGTCACCTTCCTTCCTCCCGCAGCCTTGGGCCCCCGGGAAGCTCACTGCCACTGCGATGGTTCTGACTCAGTGATCCCGGTGGACAGTGTAGAACTGCCCTTGTGGGTTTCCAAGACTGTAAATCTATACATTAGTAAAAAGGCCTCCTCGTTCTCCTGAGCGACGGCTGGAGGTTTCGAACTACTGACCTTGCAGCTAGCCACACACTATGCCACTAGGGCTGAGGCTCAATATCTCAGGCCAATTCAAATCTGCTCTTGACCCTCCAGTGTACCACGAACCCAGGGAAGCTGCTCTGACCCAAGGTAATCAACCCTGCTTTGTGGTGATGGCGGTTCCCCTGGGTGCCTGTATTTCCCAGCAGAACATACCAGCTCTCCAATCTGCCAGGACTTCACAGCCCCAACTTGCCTGCTTCCGGACATGTCCAAACTAGAGGGTGGGTAGGAGAAATGGGCAGCATAGCACCAACCTTCGCTGGGTGCTTAGAATGTACAAGACACTGTACTGGTGACATTTATGTCGGGTCTCTCGTTTGATCTTTACCACACATGATGGGAATTGAGTACTGTTATACGACGACAAGAAAACTGGCTGAGTAACTTGCAAGTGAGCGCTAAGAAGCCACCGTCGGCAGATGTCTGGCTCTGTTATGGATTATGGGAGAAAGACGCGGCTTCCTACTCCTGTACAGTGTCGCAGTCTCAGACACCCTCAGGGGAAGTTCTGCCTTGTCCTACAGCGTCCCCATGAGTCGGCATCGACTCGATGGCAGTGAGTTTGGTTTGGTTTTGTGATGGACTGAGGAGCCATCGTAGCACAGTGGTTATGCACTGGGCTTCTAACTGCAAGGTCAGCGGTTATAACCCAATGGCCACTCCAAGGGAGAAAGATGTAACTTTCTGCTCCCGTGAAGATGTACCACCTTGGAAACCCACAGGCCACGGAACCATTGAGGATATGTGTGGGTGTGTGGGGTGTGTGTGTGTGTGTGTCTTAAATCTTAAACTTACTTGTCCTAAAACTTGAGCCTGATGGTGTAGTGGGTTCTACATTAGGCTGCTAACCTCAAGGCCAGCAGTTCTAAACCAGCAGCCCCTCCAGAGGAGACAAACGAGGCCTTCTACTTGCATAAAGAGTTAGAGTCTGAGAATTCCACCGGGGCAGTTCTACCCTGTGCTACAGGCTTGCAATGAATCAGAATGGACTTGGGGTAGTGATTAAAACATAAAATCCTAAATCCCTCTCTTCTGCGATGCCACAGGGCAGATCAAGCAAGCAAGGCGGTGCCACGGAGGCTGGCAAGAGGAAAGGGCTGTCCCCCAGAGCCGGCAGGGAGCCTTTCTTTCAGTGCGGGGCATCAAGTCAGCGCTGACTCGCCACGACAGATCAGAACCGTCCCTCGGGGTTTCGAGGAGGTCGTCCCACCCGGGGCAGACTGTGGTCTCTCTTCGGCAGAGCAACGTGGGGTTCAACTGTCCACTTCTCTGTTAGCGGCCAAGCGCTTAGCGGCTGCACCCCCCCCACCCCCACACACACACCCCACACCCCCGGATCCGGCTCCCTACCAGCTGTCCAAACTGTGAGAAGCTACATTCTGTTTGTTAAAGCCACCTGCGTGCCGCATCTCTGTTACGGCACCACTAGATCACTAGGACACCCCCTCAAACCGAATGCAATTTTTCATCCATGACTTTCATTGTCTGTCCGTACCAGGGGCTTTTTGAAGGGCAATCGGCACAGCAAGAATGACACACGGAATACCCGCCACCAGCACCACCAGGCTCACAGAAACAGTGTAACAAGGGGCTACAAAATGCAGGCCACACGTGGCAAAGCATCTCCATATCCATGAATCATAGGTAATATGCTCACAGGGCCGAACCCTCCGAAAGGAATGTTCTGGAAGGCCCTGGCTGCACAAGGAATCGTGAGGGGGCTGCCCTCACCCTGGAAGTCTCTGGAGTCGCACAGTGACAGTGCACAGACACCGGCCACAACCCGTGGCCATGACCACCTGGTCGACCACGCAGGCAGAGCATGAGGGTTCACGCAGGGAAGTGACTGCTGAGGGGTTTGAAAGGCCGCACCGCTAACGGCAAGACTTCATGCTTAGTCTGAAATGACGAAAGAAGAAATTCTCTTAGAACATGAGCCAGGGCACGCTCCAGGGCTCTACCATTTTCTACTTCCTCTTCACCTTTTACTGTTTTGTTTTGTTTTTTAACTGTCGCTAGAATGACAGTCCTTCCTCCTCTGGCTCGGAAGAACCCGCCTCCACCAAGCTCCTAAGGCAACAACGAAACCCAGCAGTGGGTGTTAAAGAGAGCCCTGGAGAGTCTCCAGAGGACTTTGGAAACCGCCGTCACCCCGAGTGGTTACTGAGGCCCGATTCCCCAGAAGGACCAGGACGAGCATCTCCTCCCACCCTAGCCAACCAGATGGGCATGCTCGGCAGTCAGGAAGCTCGGCCCAGGCCCTCAGAAGGAGGAGGGAGACGGCTGAGGAGGCCCATGAACAACGAGTGCTAAGTGTTGGCGAAAGCCCCTTGGTTCATACGCAGGAAGCAATTAATTAAACCACCAACGTCTGGGCCGTCACCCTACAGAAGGGACAGAGGACAAGCCTGGCAAGCCATACTTGAATATCAGCGAGGTTCTGGATCACAAAGCTAAGTGGCCATTCAAGATGGGAGGGAGCCGGGGCAGATGAGGAGCAGCTAGGCTCTCTCATGTGCTTGACCTTGCTCACTTATCAACCAAGGGAAGCTCTGAGTGTGGCCCTATAGAAAAAAACAAAAACAAATTTTTTTTTTAATTTGAAATGTGGGAAGGCCGTGTTTATGGAGGAGATCAGGATGGACTTACTGGAATTTCTGGAGAGCTGGGCATCGCTGCTGGACTTTATGACCTTGTAGTTGGCAGGGACATCAGCCGTGGTGGACTGGGACCGCTCGGGTTTCACCCTCAGCTTGCTGTGGTTTTCCAGGACCTGGGCTGCAGTTGCCAGAGCAACCTTGGAGTTCAAAGTCTGGAAAGCGGGCGAGGACAAGTCCTCTTCCTCATCATCGCCGATGTCCCAAGCATCGCTGGTATTGCGGGCAAACTCATGAAAGCTGGAGGCCTTCTTATTCTTCAGAGGAACCGCGCCGCCTCGGGACCGCTCTCTAAGGAAGCTTCAGAAAAGCAGACAGCATTACCAAGGCGCAGCCCGGCGCGCCTGACTTGCTTCGTTTGCGCGCTGCGAGATCAGTAACTTTATAAACTACACCAGACATACAAACATCAACATGATTTTCTTCCAGTAAAAATGAGCCCTATCCATTCCTCCTCTAGACCAGCCCAGGGACAGCAAGGTTCACCAAGCAATCCTTCCGCTTAGCTATATTCCTCTCCTGGCCCCTCTGTGCTCAAGCAGGGTCCTAGACTAGTGGGGACCAGGAGGCTAAAAGAGATGGGAGGCAATCACTTCCAGGCTAACGTTTCAAAGAGCAGGTATGCGTTGTTCTATTAAGCTCTCTCCTGCTGTGGAGAGCTTTTGACTTGGAGAGCTTTTGAATGGTGGAGTCCTCAGCCTGGGTCACTGAATGGCTTCATGGAGCGGAGCCTGCCCTCCTCACTCCCCCCAACCCATTTTACACAAGCAGCAAGAGTAAGACATAACATTTGTTGTATTCATCCAGAGATGTCAGGGTAGATCTGTCGTGGTAACAGAATTTAGCCAATCCCTGGGACAGGAGATCATTTTTAGTCCCCAAATGTAGCATCAAATATTGAACACTAAAAAGAAAAAGAAAAAACTTAAAAAAAAACCTGTTATCAAGGGAAAAGTATCAACATAGTGCTACTTTGTAAGAGTCTGTATTTTACCAAGCCCAGTGAGATACTTTATTGTGCCAGCCTGGCCGATAAACACAAGTGGGATTAACTGAAGGGCGGAGAGATAAATGGCTCGGTGAGCCTCGCCTTTCTTGTCTCTTGCTCTTTGATCATCGGACCAGTGTGTGGCTGCCTTGCTTGTTCTGTGCCTCAATTTAGAGCCTACACTACCTGTGGGACACCTAGCCTGTGGACTGTGTTGCTGTAAGTTGAGGTCCCTTTAAGACCACACGATTGAAATTTACATCTCTGGTTGTGGTTTCTGTCTGTTGGTGTGGTGGCTGACAGTTGGTGACCTGCCTTGCTATTTGCTGCTGTGCTTATATAGCCTAGCTCTCTCTACAGAAGAAGACCTGGCAGCCCTCAAGACTTGAAGGACTGCTAGTGTCTCACAACTCTCTCACGGGAGTGAGTTGCACTGAGCCATTTGTACTGCTTTATAATTTAACTCTTCATTTCTTGTATTATATATCTATCGATCTGTATATAATTTAACAGTTCATTTCTTGTGTTATATACCTAACTATCTTTATAAATAAATAAATAAATAAATGCAATTATCAGCAATCTGGTTTTATCTCTCTAGAGACCCCTGTCTAACACACCCAGGCAGTCTCAGGATTGACATGCTTGCAAGCAGCAGAATCGGCTTAGGATTTAGCACCACTGCTTTGTTTTTCCCTGTGTTTATTTTTACGGTTACTTTTATAGCAAATGATATTGACTTTCCACTTATAAAAAGGACGCTTCATTTTGAAAATAAATAGTAAATAATAGCACAGAACATGACCCCCCAAATAATAAAGATGGCATATGACTGAAGCTTGGGAAACCCTAAATTAACACACTGAAGTAAGAACCCCAAGAATCCTGCAGACCATTCCCCATTCCCTAGACTTTTATATCCCATGCCCCAGCTCCCCAGGGACCCAACTCTGGCTCCAAAGAACTCGGAGTTGCTTCTGACTCAGTCTTATCTGGCACCCTCCCAACCCAAACAGACATGCAAATGGGTGTAGTCCACGCTTCACAGGGACTACAACATGATGGGGAAAAAATCTCATTAAAATTCCCCTTCTTCCTCTTCCCTGCACCCAAGGCAGGGCAACTCTACAGTGCAAATAAGGTTTGTCAGAAGAAACAGCTGAAGCCACTGCATTTCCAGAGATGCCTGTACGCTTTGGGTAGATGTGCTTAGTCTGCCAAGCTGTCCCATCTCCCCAGGTAAATCCAATACTTACTCTGAAGGACAGTACTTATTAACATAAATAAATATAGTCTGTTAACTCAGCTCATCAGAATGTCCCAAACACTAACACCAACATATGGGTAGAATGTTATCATAGCATTATTTTCAAACACTAGTCTCACACAGAGTAAAGGACGATAAATCACCCCAAATACAAACGAGGATACTAGATTAAATATGCAACAGTTCACATATGCTGGAAACAAGATACCAATTTTCATCCATTACAAGATGGACTGATCAGGAATGTCCTAAGACTGGAGTCACTGAGATGGGATTACAGATCAAACAGGATGGCATTGTCTATAAATTTATATTTAAGAAATATAAATTTTAAAAACATGTTATTTTTAATAAAAGTATTCTTGCAGTTTGTTATTGAAAACTACCTGGCAGCACAGTGGTTTCCTCACTGGACTACTGACCTCAATGATAGCAGTTCAAACCCCCCAGCCACTCTTGAGGGAGAGAGAGAAGGCTTCTACACCTGTAAAGAGTTACTGTTTCAAAGACCCAAAGGCGCAGTTGTACCCTGTCCTACAGTTGGGGTCGCTATGAGTCGGATTCAACTCTGCTGCACTGAGTTTGTCTGCTTGGTTTTCGAGGCCAAAATGCGATGCTTTTGAACCTTCCAATGCCCTCAGTCATAGCTGTCGTCATCACCCAATCGCAACGATGCTCCTGAACAGAGGTTCTGTCTGCACCTAATATAAGCACACACTGCTTCTGTTCCTGCTGGTGTTTTTACAGTCACGGATTTGGTCAATGTTTCTGGCATTTAGCTGCAATATTATGGTTACTAGGATTTATTGACTAAGAGCAGTATTTTTTTTAGACCGCAGTGGTACTTAAAGGGAAAGGAAAAACTCAAAATGAGGCTTCCACTGGGTTACTAATAATGTTGCAATCAGTAATACTGTCGTCCAATGTGGAAATATTTTACAAGACAATTTCTTTAGTATTCATATAAACTAAGAAACATGATATTCAAGTCATTTATAACAATATCACATATTTTCCATGATATTGATCATAAGTATTGGTAAGGATTCTGTATGGTTTGGTTCGGGAGGTGGTCTATGGGGCAATGTGACAACATGAGGTACCACAGTAGGTGACACTAGCTCTTACACTACGGGTCTGTTTGTGTGTGTGTGTGTGTGTGTGTGTGTGTGTGTTCTGGAAAACAATCTGACAATGCACATGTAACTGCCTTAAAATGTTTCATAACCTCTGATCATGAGAAAAGAGTCAAAGACGCAGACAAAGAGGATCTAAGTATACACTGGGGTTACTTATTTTGTTTGAAAATTGTAAACAACAACCATCTAGAAATTAGACATGATTAAATACGGGTGTGGTCTCAACACCAAATGGAGTACTGAAAGTCACGTCTTGGAAAGATTAACAAGTGAAATCGTCTCAGTAAAGTAAGTGAGAACCGGACCCAGAAGTATGCACTTCATATGACCTCTGGTCTTTAAAACAAAGTGAAACAAAAGTGTAGCATGGGAAAGACCTGGAAGGCAATACATCAACACGTCACTGCCATCAGCTGTCATGGGTACGACTCCCACGAATGGCAAGTAAGCCCGTGTGTGCAGAACAGAACTGTTCCATCGGGTTTTGAGCCTGGGGCTGTTTTTCCTCTCGTTCTTTTCTGAACATTTTAATATGAGTGAAAGTTTACCAAGCAAATTATTTTGCCATTCAACAATTCTCACGCCTTGGAGGACATCAGTTGTGATCCCATTTCCTCCCATTGCCACTTGCCTTCCTCCCGCTCCCTCCTGCCTTCAAAGCTTCATTTTTGGGCAAACGCTGCCTTTCCTGTGTCCTGAGGACCAGATCCCTCCCAGGTGCTACTGGTCACCTTAGGTCTGTCTACTGCTTGGCTGAAAGGTGGTCCCCAGGGTGGGTTCTGTTTCAGGTTTGAGGGGTGTCTAAGGCCCATAGGCTCAGGGGTCCTGCCCATCCCTATCAGATCAGCAGTTCTGGGAGGGTGTCTCATTTGTGCACACAAGCTTGAACTTTGTTCGGAGGCTGCGTGTGGCCTTCGGGAGGTAACCCTCAAGCCCCACAGAGTAGTCACAGTACTGCTCTCCGGGCTGAGGGTTGCTGCAGGCGGCAGTTCATTCCTTTTTGTTTTATTCCACTTTTATACTTCTCTACACTCTTCCGGTTTTCTATAATGGGTAAATTACTTATATTCATCAGTGGAAAGTATTGTTTTTAAAGCATTTTATTGACTTTCAATGATTCAAAGTCCCATAAAGCTACTGAACAAACCCTCAGAAATGAACAAGTGCTCAAACCAAAGGGGGAAAACCGGCAACACAGCGCCAATGCCTACTGATGTGGAAAATCCACTCAGAGCATGAAAGGTAGATGACTCTTCTGCAGCCACACTGAGGCTGTGGGCTTTGGACTTACCCACTGTGACCATTTCTCCCCTAGAAGGGGAAGTGGGGCCCACTACAGGCAGTACGACCCTCGGGGGTGGCTGTCAAGAACAAACAGAAGCCTGCCATGGATTAACAACCGCACAGGAGTAAGTCCTTTAGCTTTGTTTTCCCGCCCTGGGGGCCACACGTACCCCAGGACTGTAAATGATGAGTCCAACAGAGGGACTTCGGACCCCCCAGGTCAGCTGTGACTTCTTTCTAGCTGATGTTTCCTAAAAAGACTCGTGTTGCTTCGAGAACTCTTTAAGCCTTCAAACGGAGAAGCTGAAGTTTAACTTGGGCAAACGGCTGACGGCTGCTGATGGTCTAACAGCCAGGGAAACATGTGCCGGCCCTGGACTGAATGAAAGGTCACAGCAAGAGTCGGGGCTGGCCGAGTGTCAGGTTCCAGACGAAAGAGACAAACCAGCAGCGCGGTGGGCCCATGGGTATCTGCTACATATTTCTTTATACTTTTGATGCGTTTGAAAGGTTTTATTCTATTCTTAAAGCAGTTTAAGAGTCGCAATCTAATTAAGTAGGCTAAGGGGAAGAATGTACTCAAATGAAGACGTTCACCAGGTAGAAACTGGAAAAAGGCACA